GGTTGGAGAGATGGCTTAGTGGTTGGTCTTGCAGAGGACCCAGGTTTGGTTTCCAGCACCCACAACTGTCTGTAACTACAGTTCCAGGGGATCTGATGCCCTCTTCTGGCCTCCTCAGATATTGCATAACATGAGTACACTTACATACATTCAGGCAATACATTCATTCATACACATAAAAAATAAAAATGATAAAGAAAATAAAAAGGAAAAAGCTGCTGGTAATTTATATGAAGTAGACCAGAGTTCACCCTAGGCCAGCAGCTGAACTTAGCAGCCAAACTTGACAGTGTTGTTCACATGGTGCTGGCTTTAGAAATATGAAAGATGCATATCTCTAATTGGAGTGAAGAGGCCATTTGTTCTTCCTCCATGGTTTCAGAGAACTGCTGTGACCAAGCAGCATGCAGCAGGGGCATCCCTGCATAAAGATGGCCTGACAGGCCAAGAGAACCCGATAGGCCATTGTATGAAGCTGTGAAGGTGAAGCTTGGTTGGCAGTGGGAATCCTAAGAAGACACTGGAGATGCCAGAGTTGTGAGAAATCTGCCTAGGAAAGCTACACACAAAGGGAGTGGTACCAGCCCAAGGGAGAGATGTATGTTGTACACAGAAAAGTCATATGGGTTAAGTCATTTAAACCCTTTGGAAGTAAAGTCTCAGTCATCAGACATGGAGCTGCAGGATTTGGAGTTCTCCCTGCTGGGTATCGGTCTTGTTTTGGTTCAGTATTTCCTCACTATGCCTCCATTTCTCCCTTTTGGAATAGGAATTGTTTTGGTTCTATTGTATGTTGGAAGTATGAAAGTTGTCTTAATTTTATATGGACTTACAATTAATTGAGAGACTGCCTTGAGTCTCAGAAGAGACTCTGCACTCTGTACTTTTGAATAGTATTAAGACTGGTAAAGATCACGGGGATTTTTAAGGTTGGAATAAATGGATTTTATATTTTATATGGTCTTGAGCCTATGTGGACCAGTGAGTGGAATGCGGTAGTTTGAATGAGAATGTCCCCTATGGGCTCCAAGTATATGGATATTTTGTTCCCAGTTGGTGGCTCTGTTTTGGGAGGTCTTAGGTGTGGCCATGCTGGAGGCAGCATATCACTAGGGAGCCACCTTAGAGAGTTCTTAAGCCTTATGGGGTTTCTAGTCTCCCTCTCCTTCCTGTCCCTACTTGAAATGTGAGCATGCTACTTTCTAGAACTCTAATCCCTTTGGAACCTGGAACAGTAAGCTCAAATAAGCTCTTCTTCCTATAAGTTTCCTTGGTGATGGTGTTTTATCATAGCAACAGAAAGGTAACTAAGACACTCAGTGCATTATTTATGTCCTAGTTTTGTTTCTCTATTGCTGTGATACAATACGCGGACCAAAACCAACTTTAGAGGAAAGGTTTCTTTGGCTTATATGTGTGATCACAGTTCATCATTGAGGAAAGCCAGGGCAGAAATTCAAGGCAGGAATCTGGAGGCAAGAGATGAAGCACAAACCATGGAAGCACTACTTACTGGCTTGCTCCCCTGGCCTGTGCCCAGCCTGCTTTATTATACAACCCAGGAATACCTGCCTAGGAGAAGCACTGGCTACATTAGGCTGGACCCTTCCACATCACTTACAATCAAGAAAACACCTCACAGATATGCCCATAGGCCAATACCTAGAGGAAATTCCCCAACCGAGGCTTCCTCAAGTGTGTCAAGTTGATAACTGAAGCTATCCAGCACAACTTACTTTTCTGTTGCTATGATAAAATACCATGACCAAAGCAACTTATAGAAGAGCTTATTTTGGCTTACAGTTCCAGAGGGGTAAGAGTCCAACATGGTGGGGAGACATGACAGCAAGTATCCCTGGGACACACATACTGGAGGGAGAGATCCACTTTCCTCAGGTTGTCCCTTGATCTCCACACACGTGTCCACACATATGTATAAGCACATACATACACACATAAATAAATGTAATAAAAAACAAATATTTTAAAAACTCCAAACTGAAAATGCAAAACTACTGGCTTTTAGTTTTAACTGTACCTTTACTGATATTTTTATTTCTTCATATTGTTCTGAATTACTGTCTACTATCCTTCCCTTTCAACCCAAGGGACTTTTCATTTCTTTGTAGGGATGGTCTACTAATGATGAACCCCCTCTGTTCTGGTAGTATCTTCATTCCTCCTTGATTTTTGAAGCATAGCTTTGTCAATGTAGAATTTTTTCCTGGTACTTACATCATCTCATAACATTGTTTTCTGGTCTCCATAGTTTCTGATGATTATCCATGACCCATCATTTCTCTCTTACTGTTTTCAAGATTCTTAGTTTTTTACTTTTGGCTATTATATTTCTTCATATGGATCTCTTTGTACTTGTTCTATCTAGAGTACATTGCCCTTTTTAGCTTAAAAAACACCACAGATTTATACAACTATTATTTCTTCACATAGTCTTTGCATTCCTTTCTTTTCTCCTCTCCTTCTGGATCTTCCATTATTCACACATTTGCTTGATGGTGTCCTGTACTTCTCATAGACATATACTTCTCTCTGTTAACATTTCTTTACTTCTTTTTACTCAGTTGTGTTATCACAACTGGCCTCCCTTTGAGTCCTCCACTCTTTCTTCTACTTGCTGATGTCTGCTCCTAAAACCTCTCAAGTGGAGTGACTCTTCAATTACTGTGCTTTTGAACTCCAGCAACTCTTTCTGGTTCTTTTTCTTAATTTCTCTTTAGTTATATCTTCTATTTGTTCAAAAAGCTAAGTTCTACTGATTGGTATCACTTTCCAGTTCTTGCCTGGGGTTTTCTTTCACTCTGAGTATATATAAAACAACTGATTTAAAGTCTTTTTTCTAGTAATTCTAATGTCTGACATTCCTCAAAAAAAAAGAGGTTTTTTGTTTTGTTTTTCTAGGCATGGTGGCTAAACCTTTAACCTCAGCACTTAGGAGGTAAAGGCAAGGGGAATCTGTGAGTTCAAGGCCAGCCTGCTCTACCTAATGAGTTCCAGGTGAACCAGTGCTATACAGTGAGAGTCTGAAAAAAAGAAAAATATATACTTTAAATTTTTTCTCTGTCATAGGCCATACATTTTTGTTTCTTCCCCTCCCCTACAGTATCTTTTGTTGAAGACTGGACATCTAAATATTATTATAGGGAAATTCTGGATATCATATACTACCCCTCCATAACAGGATCTTCTGTCACCTCTTGTGGCTTAATGGCTTTTCTGAATTCTGTAGAGTCTGAAGTCTCTTTTCTGTAAGTTTAGTGGGCAACTAGTAATTTAATGGAGATTTTCTTTATTAAATACCTGGAACAAGAAAAAAGGAAGGAGGGAAGAAAAATAGAAATAAATAGCCAAAATATAATAAAATCCTCCCAGTCTCTGCCAATTAACTGTATGTTGAGGCACTCCCTCAAAGCTTAGCCAGGCAGCTTACAACATTGTCATAGCTTTCATTTTCTACCCACACAGAGCCTGAGAGTGAGCCAGAGGTGAGAATATAGGGTGTCCTCAAGTCCTTTTTGAGCAAGCATCTAAGAGCAGGGCATGCACCTGATTTTTAAGATTCCTGGGTATAAAAGGAAAATTTGCAAAGCTTTTACTCTTCCATATCTTTTCTGTAAGATGTTTATTTCTTGCTTGAATTTAGACCTTGCCCCTGTTGGTTTGAGCTGTGTTTAAATGCTTTGAACAAACACTGCTTTGGGCTGTGATGAAGTAGATGAAACTATGAAAGGCCTTTAAGCTGAACTTTCAGGGAACCACTTGGCAGGTCAAAGCATTCAATTATAACTTACTAATAATAAGGTCTCTATTTTCTCCCTCTGGTGCCAGTGACCTACACCAAGAATTTGAACTACCATCTTCAAGGTGACCCCCAATCTGGGAAGTGGGAGAGGACTACAGCTCTCTTATCAAAATCCAGCAAAAACATTTTTTTTTGGTCATAAGTATCTGTCTGATTGCTATAAGGTGTTTTTACTTTTGTACTTTTCAATCTTTTTAAAAATTGTTTTAACAGACATCACAGAGGCTAACAAGAGAATGTACTGAATATTTGAAAGCTCTGCCAAAGAGCACTTGTAAAAGTTTTTGAACAAGAATACTACCATCAAAATAACTTTTATTTCCCTTAAAGGCAACATTCACTAAAACACCTAAACACATTTGTCAATCCTTCAATTATCAGAGGCATTATTTGGTGGAGTTTAGAGATACAGTCTTTGGGATAAGACCTTAGTTTGAATTCCAGATATTTTGCCCCCTGAAAGTTTGGTGTTACCATGTCTCTTAAATTTTTCTAAGATTGCTTCTTTATCTATAAAACATACAGTTGCAGAGTTGTAGTAAAGATTTAAAAAGAGATGTATGTAAAATACTTGGCACCCATTACTATTTGTTAAACTCGGAAGAGGTCTTGATCACATTACAGTACATTGCTTTCCAGTACTTGCTTTCATTCTTTCAAGGGCCCTAGCTTAGAGAGTGCCATACGAGTTTTAAAAACTTACCTTGAGCGGACTTCCCTAATAAATATATTGATTTTACGCAAACTGTATGCTTATTGACATTGGTTTCGGGAAAACTGCTGGGAAAGAAAGGAGCTGTTTTCAAAAAGCCTCTCTTTAAGTCTAGAGATGTGTCAACCCATTGGGAAAAATACAAAACAAAACAGTGTAGACTAAGGGTAGGGCATGGCAAGCTAACTCCCTCCCCCTCCCCCCAGCTTCTCCTCAGAATCCACAGCGTCCAAGAGCGTGACCACACCACTTAACCAGCCAGAAAAGCCTGAGAAGAAAAACACCGGGAGGTCAGCCACATCAGTGTTTTTTCCCCAGACCCAAGAGGCTGTAAAACCCCCATATCTCGGTTTTCCCAGGCGCCTCAGCCTGGGAGCAAGGACAGGCCGCAGCAGGCTGGGGCTCTCATACCTGTGCGGAAGCAGTGCTGGCTGCCGCCGAGGCCTCTGGGAGTTGTAGTTCTGGACGGCTGAGGTTTGACAGAGGCTGCCGGCTCAGCGCGCCCGGACTGCATCCCCCGCCGGCCCCCGCGGCGTGGGCCGTTGCCTCTTCCGGTTTGGGGACGAGTTGCTGGTCGGAGGCGAATTGCAAGGTCTGGAAAGGGGTTTTTAGCTCTCGGTTGGCTTTTACGAGGTCGAAGCTTGGCCTGTTGAGGTATAGCGCGTTACGTTGCGAGGCAAACTCTAGCTCGGAAGGGTGGGAGGGAGCCGAGGTGGGGTGGCGGGAAAGGCTGAGCTCGTCCGACCGGCTGTCAACGCGCACAGGTCTTTTGGTCGCGGCGTGGAGGTGGGAGAAGATTGAGCCCCGGGGTCGGGGAAGATGGCCCTGAGCGGCGTTGCGTGCCCCTGACGAGGGCTGAGTGTGGGAGAGCGTGGGGTCTGCGGGGCCTGAGGGGACCTCGGTCTGCTGGAGCCTCAGGGCAAAAGCAAATCAATACCGGTACCCCAAACCGGGGTGAGAGGAGAGTTGGGGGGATTGTAGAAACAGGGGATCCAACCCTGGGCACGCGCTCTATCACTAAGCCACTTTCCCCTGATGGGTGGCATGATGTGTCACCTCTTCAACACCAGAGCTGTGGGGCAGTAAGTAAACGGGTTCTCCTCAGTGTACGGATCAGGAAACGGGTCCTCCGAGTTGGATAAACTTGCTCGTCACCAACCAGTTAGCAAACTTGACTAAAACCTCACCTGCCTTGGCCATTGTTGAGATCCGTAGATTTGAAAACTTTAACATATGTCCTCTTTTATTAATGCTTTCAGATGTGACAAAGAACTGCCATGCAGGCAGGGTAACAGGGAAATACTGGCGGGTGGGGAAAAAAAAAACCTCAGGACTCAGGAGGCTGAGGGGCATTGGGGGGAGGGTGGTCTCTAGTTAGAGGCCAACCTTGGCTACGTAGTCAAAAGTAAAAAACAAGCGGTGAAGAAATGGCTGTCACTCAAGTGCTGGCCATGCAAGTATGAAGACCCGAGTTCCATCCCCAGCACCTGCTTAAAAAACAAAAAACAAAACAAAACAAAAAGCAGCTGGGGCGTGGTGCACACCTTTAATCCCTACACTTGGGAGACAGAGGCAGGCAGATCTCTTGAGAGTTCAAGGTCAGCCTTGTCTACATAAGTGAGTTCCAGGCCAGCTGGGGCTTAAGGAGGGAGACCCTGTCTCAAAAATACAAAAGAAAAAAAGTGTCATAAAGACAAAATAATGGAACTGGAAAAAAAATCTATCATCATAAGCCTGGCATGGTGGTGCATTCGGAGGTAGAGGCAGGCGAATCTATGTGAGTTCAAGCCAGCCTGGTCTACATAAAGTTCCAGGCCAGCTGGACCTACAGGGAGACCCTGTCTCCAAAAGACGGGGGGCGGGGGGGGGGGAGAAGAAATAAAAAAGCAGGTGTGTTGGAGACAGAGACACAGGCACATCCCTGGGGCTTGCTGGTCAACTAGTCTAGTGGAATTGGTGAGCTTCAGATCCAATGAGAGAACCTGTCTCAAAAAGTAAGGTAGAGGAAGACACATGACTTCAACTTGTGGCCTTCACGTGCATGCACACACATGTACACATACATGCATATATACCACATAGGAAAAATCGACTTCCGTATGAAGATAACAAAGATGTCACCTATCATTCTTATACCCATAAGGAAATAATGCATTCTCCAATTTTGCCCACTAGAGCTCTGAGAACAATTAGCCTTAGATTTCTTCTCAAAACCTTAAGTAGTTTGAACCTGTTATACACAAAAATATGCTCTTGCAGTTTTATAATACCTTAAGTATTTATAATAAGGGGTAAATTCAGGAAGATAGCACTATTAACTTGAACTACAAATGTAGACAATATACTGCAATATAATGTTGTTTTGGGGTTTGGTTGGTGTTTTGTTTGTTTTGTTTTGGGTTTTTTGTTTTTTGTTTTTTGTTCTTTTATTTATTATTTATTTTTTTGAGATGGGGTCATCCTGTAGGCCCAACTGGCATGAAACTTAATATGTAGACCAGGCTGGCCTCACAGAATTGCACCTGCTTCTCATTATACATTTTTTGTTTTTTGTTTTTGTTTTTTAAATAAAGGATATATGTTGGCATAAAAGTAAAAACAAAAAAAATAAGAATAAATCAAAGGATTAAAGTTTGCTGCCAGGCCTGCATTTTCATAATACGCTTAAATCTCAGCACTCTGCTAAGTATTCTTTCTTTCCTATCTCCCAAACTTAACTTTGGAGTATCTAGTTTTCCGGGTATGGGAGGAGTGATTGTTTGGTGTCATAGTATTACTTTATCTGGTAATTTCTAGATCACATTGTGCTCCCGTGCTGCCAGATTTTAACACCTTTGAAGCATTAGATTAAAAGTATATTTTGGCTGTGACATCAGAATTGTAGAATTTTAACTCCTATTAGGTGACCAGTAAATTATTCGTAAGGAAGGAATTTTGGTGTGTTAATGGACTTTATAGCAGATTTAGAGAAAACAGACATGCATACTATGATGGCTAATCCTGGGTGTCAACTTGATTGGATCTGGGATTAACTGAAATGAAAGAGATCTTCTTGATTGGATCATCTAAAGCTGGAAGACACACCCTAAATGTGGGCGTTACCTTCTGATGTCAGCCGGTATAAAAGACCAAGGCAGAGGAGAACACCAGGCTTCTTGCTGCTTGCTTTCTCTCTCGCTGGTGAGTTTGTCTTGCTGCTGTAGACTGAAGACTAGCTGATCTTTTGGAATTTGTCAGACCTTCAGCGCCAGATTGGTACTATTGAGATATCCAGCCTTGTGGACTGAGCGACTGCTGATTCTCAGCCTCTCCAGTGTGGTGCAGCCATTGTTGGACTACTCGGACTCTAACCTGTGAGCTAAGCTGATAAATATATACATATATTCATTCTACCGGTTCTGTTTCTTTAGAGAACCCTGACTAATACACATAACATGCCTGCTTCCACCAGGTTGCCTTTTTTGTTGTATCTGAAATTCTATAGCATATAACTAATTTTCAGCTTATGAGGAAGGAATTATAGATACTTGGATGTTTATGCCCACAGTAACATTTACTGTATCACAATCTAGTGTATCCTACTGCAAATTGATACTAGCATCTTGGTGTAGATACTTGTTGTTATTGATGATCTCACTATTTAGCACTGGTTGTCCTGGAACTTCCTGTGAGCCCAGTTTGGCCTCAAACGTGCATCAATCCTCCTGCCTCTGCCTTCTGAGTACTAGGATTAGAGGCATATAGCACTGTGCCTCGCTTATGGATTGCATATTCAAAGAACTGTGAAAGGAAGTGTGTAAGCCTAGTAAGGAAAGGGTTGGCATTCTTTCAGATACTAATAATCATGGTCAAGTCTTTTTAAAATGTCATTCTGACTTTCTTGAGTTCCTTTCTATCCTTTATATAGAGATAAATACTTCAATAAGGCACCAGTGTTTTAAGTAAAACTTGAAAGTATTGTTAGGGATGTTGCTAAGGGGTCTCTTAGTTCCTGTCATCCTAAAGGAAGGAAGTCATTCAAGAGACAATAGGCAATTTGAGCAGTTTGTTGAGCAAAGCTAAGCAAAATAAACACTCCAAAGAGAGATTGGAGTGGGCCGCCCCAAGGGTAGGAAGCCGCATAGTGGGTGTTGCATTGTGGGTTTTAAAGAAGTTTTTTTGTGAATTTTTATGAAGTGGGTGTTAGAACATCTAGGCCCTTCAAGCCCTAAGCAGAGAACACTACAGGCAAGTAAGCCCAATCCCTTCCCTGCTGCCAAAACAGAGTGGGAAAGCAAGCCCAGCCCCTTGCTGCCTGGAGTCAGAAGCAACTTGAATTATAGTCACACATAATCAGCTATACTCTCTCCAGCACCTCTGTGACTCTTAACTCCTGTCTCAAGTCATGGATTCAGGCTATTAACTTAAAGCTCCTCCTTTTTAGCAGCATTTAAGAGCAGGTATTTAATAGGTAGAGACTTTCTTCTTTCAAGATTTATTATTTTATGTGTATGTGTGAGTGCCTGCATGTATGTATGTATGTATACCATGTGTGTGCTTGGTGCCCTTGGAGGCCAGAGAAGCTTGTCAGTTCTCCTGAAACTGGAGTTATAAGTGGTTGTGAGTCATGATGTGGGTGCTGGAAACCAGACCCAGGTTCTCTACTAGAATAAGTGCCCTTAACCACTGAGCCATCTCTCCAGCCCTGGTAGAGACTTTCTTATAAGTCATTCTTGGCATTTAGTTTTTTGAAAGTTAAATGCAAGACTATATGAAAGGGTAACAGCACCTTGGGTATGTTCTGGGTAGGTAGGGGTCTTTGTGTGAGCCACTTGGAGCCTTCCAAGACCAGCTTTGCCGTCTTTCCCAGAGCCCTGCCCTTCGTCTTGTCTGGTCAGCTTGGCTCTCTCCTATCTGTCTGCAAGCCCTTTTATTCCTTATTCCTAGTATTCCCTACTTCACAGTTTTAATCCCAACATTCATTTTAACTCAAAATTTGCTTTACCTGTGACAGTATCACACAAATCAGGTCAGCTGTCAGTTTCCTTTTGGGACCTGACTCAGGCATTTCATGCATCATAATACCTAAGACCATTAGTGTATGAACAACAAATTTCTATCTGACAGTTCTGAAGACTAGGAAGTCCAAGATCAGGATGTAGTTAGTTTGGGTGTTGTTTTGTTTTGTTTTGTTTGGTCTTTTTGAGACAGGGTCTCCCTGTAGCCCCAGCTGTCCTGGAAATCATTGTGTAGACCAGGCTGGCCTTGAACTCACAGAGATCTGCCTGCCTCTGCCTCCCATGTGCTGGGATTAAAGGCATGCACCACCACGCCTGGCCCCTAGTTTGGGTGTTTGATATGAGCCTGGTCTCTGCTTCCAGGATGGCACCTTCATGCTATGTTGCTATATGGTAAAAGGGACAGAAAGGCAAAGGGGCTCAACTAGACCCCTTCAGCCCTTTTATAAGGTACTAATCACATTGGTAATTTAATCATCTCCTAAAGGCCCCACTTCTTAATACTGTAACATCGAGTACTTTCTCCAGCCTTGGGTATTAGTTTTCAACACTTGAGTTTTGGAGGTGGCCATAGAAGGACCCCATACTAAAACTAGTCTTAAACAATTAGGAACTCTATTAAATGATTTAGCATTATAGTCTTGATGTTTTGGAGCTCAGAGATTAAGATATTAGAATTGGATATGTCCATTTATGTCACCTTGCCTGTTTAACTCTCACCAAACTACATGACTGTTAAGATTGGCAAGTAAGTACTATATGAATGTATAACATTATAGATTTTAGGCATGACAGACTCTTCTGCATTATTATCTATAGCTGTAGAATTCCAATTCCCTCTCAACCCATTTCATCAAACTGCAGAATATCTTAATGAAAATTCTGATCCAAAAGACAAGGAAAACAGTATAAACTCTGCTCTTAACCTCCCCAAAGGCCTGTTCTCAACAGTTTTTAAGCTATAAGTATCCAAGGATGAGAGTATGATAATTTTTAAGCATTTTAAAATAAAATTTCTTATATACCAGTGATAATTAAAAGATTCCATTCTCATAAAAATAAAGCAGTTGTGACTTGATAAGAAATGACGGTGGTCTGAATCTGAGTATATCCAAAGGAAAAGCTAGTAACATATCCTAGTGGAGTGGATGCTGACTATGAGAAGAAGCCACAGACAGGTCCAAGAATTTTGATCTGAGCAATTAGAAGGATAAAGATTCCCATAATTAAAGTCACGAAAACAATGTGTAGATAGTTGGGGTTTTTTTGAGGAAGAAAATCAAGTTTTGGACATGTCAAGTTTGACATGTGTATTATATCCAGGTAAAGATGTTGAGTAGCCAATTGGATATGCAAGGGTGAATTGTGGAGAGAAGTTTAGGCTTGAAGTATTACTGGAGAAGTTGCCATTGCCTAAATCAGCTGAACTTCCTATAGTTATTAAAGTACTTCATATCCATACCTCCTAATATGGGAGTCACTAGCCAAAGTATTAAGGAAACTTTTAGTTCCTATAAGAGAGTGAAGCCTATTGCTTTTTGTTAACCTCTACTCTGACAATAAGCTTGTACAATCTTTACTTTGGATGGACCTTGGGCTATTCTGTTTCCCTAGATCTCAAGGCTTTGAAAATATCAATTCAAATTCTCCTGAAAAAACAAATACTGCCCAGGCAACAGCCATTTCTTCCAGCCATTTCTAGATTCCTTGACTTTGTCCCCAAATCACCCGAATTTTCTCCCTATTTTAGGGTCTGTAACCTAATCTGTTAAGTTCTTGGAAATGGGTTGTCCCACTTATATTTCATTAAGCTGAAAACTAAGAAATAACAATTTCAAGTTATCAGTCTCTCTGATAAATATTTTAATCGGGTACCTCATTTAGGTCACAATGGCCTAAGCCTAGGAGTTGGAGACCAGATACCTTTAGACAAAAGATACCTTTAGCAAATTCCCATACTTTCTATTTCTTTTGCATGCAAATATATTACTTAAAGTAGTAGATTTTTAAATTTTTTATTTTTTTTAAAGTGTACTCAGTTTAAACCCTATAAGACATAAAATTGAATGAGGTTTTAACCTTTAAAAAAGATCTCCATTTCATTATTAAAATACACAGTTTCATACAGAAAAATTCATTTTTAATACAATTGACACTAAGGTGCATGTGCGTTTCTAATCTCTATATATCTGATTATTACTAGTCACAGTTGGTTACTTTCTGAACTCCTTGGCATCTGAGCATGGATATAAAGTCATCAGGTAGTTTTCAATGGTAATGTTTTTCACATCTACTAATTATTAAGGAGCAAATTTTTATGCTTTAAAGAATTATTTTTTTAATTAAATTTTTTTTAAATAACCACATGATTAGAAGAAGCATTTTATTATGGCTTAACATATTCAGTAACACATTCTAGAGCAAGGATACATCTCTTTCAAAAGTGGCTGTAAATTTTTAAGTTCACAGTTGAATTAATACAGTTATACGATATTGAACTCAGTATAAACCCTATGTCAGTAGCATTAAAAATGTAGGAAACAGCATATTCAAAAAATGAAATGGAGATCTTCTTTAAAAAGTAATAGATTTTTTAAAAAATTAAACCAAATTATCTTTTTCTCGTTCACATAGGGCTAACTTCCTCGGTGCTTAAAATCTGAGAAAAATGGAAAATGTGGATAGTGATTCCAGGCATCTTATCCCTGAGGTAGAACAAGAAGTAAATCCTGGACCTATGAATATCCAGTTTGATTCATCTGACCTAAGATCTAAAAGGTAAGGACTTAAAGCATTTATTTAATAATTAGAGCTTATAACTAATTTCTTATAGGATTTATATATATGTATATGTGGGTAGGAAGATACCACATAGATACCATTTTCTGATTTATGTATCTTCAGTTTTAGACTAAACATCTTTGTCAAGGAAAGGGTTGGGGTTTTACCACGTAAGATACATTTATATAATTCACTCAGATATGTATTGAGTATAAGCTTCATACAAATTAACATGCCAGATGCTAGAGATAATACAGTAAAATGGTCTTTACCTATACTGAATTTAAATGCCAACAGATAATTTAAAATAATTTAAGTTGTTATCCGTTTATACCTCAAAACCTTGAGAAAACAATTAGCAAATGAATTCAATCAATAGTTACTAGGCTAGATGGCTCAGTGGGTAAGTGTTGATGTGTAAGCTTGAGGACCTCAGTTTGGATTCTAGCAACCACACAAGAAGCTGGGCATGGTCCTGTGCACACCTGTAACCCCAGGGAAGTAGGTGTTGGAGACAGGAGGATCACTAGGGTTTGCTGGCTGCCAGCCTAGTCAAAACTATGAACTCAGGCTAAGAGAGTGGCCTTGCCTCAGAGGATTAATGTAGAAAGCAATAGAGGAAGATGCCCAGTGTCCTTCTCATGCTTCCATGCTTGCACATAATTGTGGGCACATACACAATGTTGTTACTTACAAAACAGGCAAATATAAGACCAGATATATATAGTACACACCTGTAATTCTAGCACTTAAGGCAGAGACAAGGACGATTGTGGTATTGAGGCCAACCTGGGCTGCATAGTGACACCCTCTCTATGAAAAGCATAAGAGGCTGGCAAAGTGGCTCAGCTGGTAAAAGCACTTGCTTCAAAGCCTGACAATTTGAGTAAAATACCCAGGATCCATATGATAGATGGAGAGAATCTATTCTAGCAAGTTGTCCTCTGACCTCAACATATGTGCTATGGCACATGTGTTATGGCGTGTTTATACACACACACACACACACACACAAAATAAATAAATAAATGTATTTTTTTCTAAAAATAAATAGCCTTCCAATGAGGAGAGGAAGTAGAAAAAAAATGTAAAGTGTATTTGAATAGTCTTAATGGGAATGCACAAAATTTATGAGAGAAACTAAAATCCTCCTGAGAGATATAAAATAAGATTTAGAGTATGTCATTAAATCTGAAATGCTACTGATTATAAATCTATATGGCACCATTTTAAAAAACAATACGCAAATATATGTGTGTATATGTGTGTGTGTGTATGTGTGTGTATATGTGTGTATGTGTGTGTATGTGTATATATCTATGTGTGTATGTATATGTGTGTGTATGTGTGTATGTGTGTGTGTATGTGTGACAAAATTGAAAATATAAAGTGCATCAGTTAACATATTATTGATACCTCACACTTAAAAAACTTGATTCTTCCCCTTATGCAAAATTGCCATGATGATAATTGATGATATCTGTAATGTTTCATGATCCATTTCTTTTTTTTAATTTTTAAAATTATTTTTATTTTTATGTATGTGTTTTGCATGCATATATATTGTATGTATATTGTGTATCCATATTGTATATGCATGTATATTGTGCATCCATATTGTATAATGCCTGAGGATATCAGAAGAGGGCTTCTGATCCCCTGGAACTGGAGTTACAGGTGGTTGTTAGCTGCCATGTGGATGCTGGGAACCAAACCCAGGTCCTCTGTAGGAGCAACAGGTGCTCTTAACCCCTAAGTCATCTCTCCAGCCCCATTGACAAAGTCCTTGATTTTCTTCCAAAGCAGTGATGACACTTGGAGGTTTTCATATGTGCACTTTGCTGGTCTTACAAGAGGGTATCACCAATGGTTTTCTCACAAATTCTTCTTCCTCAAATGGTTGTTCAGTGGTTTGACTGAAATTACCAGGGTTGGCAGTAACGTGTCATGCCACCAGAAGTAACTGCTATCACACTTTCACTTGGCTGTCAGTGATTAAAAAGTGTTACAGACTGACTCTGAGGTGTCCTCACATAGAAATGTTGAAATGTGTATATTAGAATCAGTAAAAAATGTATAATGGAAATCATATTCTATTCTAGGTAGAAAAAAAAAATAAAGATTATACTCTTTAAGCTTTAATCCAAGGGGTTGGGAGATGCTCAGTTGGTAAAGTACTTGTCACACAAGCTTGAGGAATTGAGTTTGGTGGAGCCCTAGTACCCATGTAAAATCCAGGAAGCTGTAGTGCACCTCTGTAATCCCCATACTGGGGGAGGCAGAGACAGGCAGATTCCTGGAGCTCTTGCCAAATTGATGTATTCCAGGTTCAGTGAAAGACCTTGTCTCCAAACAAAGAAGATGGAAAGATGGAAGCAATTGAGGAAGACACCTGACATTGATCTCTGACCTCCATACATACACACAACCATGTGGACATGTATATATACACACACACACACACACGCACACACACACACACACACACACACACGAAAATAAACTTTAATCCATAAATTTAGTGTGATTCTGCCTGCCCCAAATGCCAGCAGCCAACTCTAAAACTTATATAGATGAGTGGTCTTGCTACTAAGCCCCGATTCACAATGTCAAATGATATATGTACAGAGCTATATAAATTACAAAGACTGAAAGCAACTAAAGTGTCTTTTCTTACAGGACTAGATAAACAAATTCTGGCATATTCATATAGTGGAATATTTTTTATCTAGTAAGGGGATAGCTTTATTACATATCAAAATGGAGCTCAGAGCTGAGCGTGATGGTGTATGACCTTAGTCCCAGTACTCAGGAGGTAGAGGCAGGTAGGTTTCTGTGAAATCAAAGCCAATCTAGTCTACATAGGAAGTTCCAGGCCGCTGGTGCTACAGGGAGACCCTGTCTCATAAAACAAAACAAACAAAAGAAAAAACCAAAATGGAACAATTTTTCAAGTTATTTTGTTGAGAAAAAAGTGAAATGCAAAGCAGTAGGTATAGTACACCACCATTTAGTTAAAAATCAATCAATACATTATATACAATATAGTATACATAGATGAAGTAAGGGAGACTAATTAGATAACTAAGAATACTTGCTCCCTTTGAGAGAAACTGAGTTAAGACAGTTGGGCAGACAGTGTTAGGTGTCAGCTCTGCTCATTCCCTGCCTGCAGCACCTGATCTGGACAGAGCTGCATCCATTCTCACTGAGGGCATAAAGCTTGCTGTAAACTGACCTTGATGATCTTGTTTCCACTTTCTAAACATTTAATGTTTTAATCTTTCTTTCAGCTAGAAATGGCAGTGTAAAATTTGTCACACAAGAAATTTGTCATTTGTCATTTCAGTGGCTATCAGAAGAAATAGAGAAATTTGTCTTGTGATTCTCACTTGTGTATTCCAACGTTAGTGAATGTAAGCATTAACAAATGCTGTCTGACTGCTTCGGGTTTTCTTGAGACTTCTGAGTTCTATGATAAATAATTGACCACTGTGACAATAGGACATAGGTCATTAAAGTGCATTCCATTGTAATAAGTTGACAGGAGTTCAAACAGTTCCTTGAAAATTTAAGCTAACAAACTAGATTAAATGGAAATACATTTTCTATAATGAACTTTGTCAAAACAAGAAGGAATCAACTATTTGCAACCTTGGCATAACTGGTAAGCATGTATTAAGGAAAATACAAGAACTTAGCAGTCCTCAGTACTAATTTACTTGTGAAATAATTTTTGTCTATGAAAACAGAAATTATTTAATGAGGAAAAATGTGTAAGTACTGTAAAGTATTGTTTCTAATAAGGATTATTTCATTTTGAATATGCAAATAAACCCAGACACAATATTTCTTCTATTTTAAGAACCAGCTTAGACAACTATTTTCAAAACTAATCATTTTAGAGTCACTTATGACTTTGATGATATCCATGTACCATATATATAGTATAATTTAATGTTTCTTTAAAAATCTGTTCAACCTTTTAATCCCAGCACTTGGGAGGTAGAGGCAGGCAGATCGCTGAGATCCCGGCCAGCCTGGTCTACATAGTTCCAGGTCAGCTGGGGCTACAGGAAGACTCTGTCTCAAAAAACAAAATCTATTGATCTTTTATGTATTACATACATATACTAGTTAGCATTCATGCTTGTCATACCTAGATACCTACATTTAGGAAACCATGTGGCTATAAGATTATAGAAATCAACACTTGATACTTGAGCGTTACTTGTCCTCAGTTTAGCTTGTGCTTTCTTTCTTCCACTAGGTGGCAATCAAATCTTATATTAGTTCAAATAGAAGCATTTTAACTGCTATAGACCTAAAGATAGTGTGTTTATCATTTTGGTGGAACTAGGGTCTAAACTTAGGTAGAGGAAGGAGCTTGGCTTTATAGGATACATGTCATAACAATTTTAATAATTTAGGGTACTCTGAAAAAAGTAAATCTACTTTTTATTCAACATGTCTCCTATACCAATTTTTCACCTGGTTTGGGATAGAGTGAAAAATGGAAATGGAAAGGACAAAGGTTTAGTGGTTGCCCATGTTCTATATCATATATTCCATAGGCAATTAGCAATCTCAAAAACTGATTTTCTGCCTTTCTCAGACTTTTGGTGACTAATGATAGAGCTGGTATTCAGGGTTGCTTCATATTTCTCCATTGCTCTGTTACTGTGCCCTGGGGAAGCTGACTATTCCAGCGAGCCTATGAAGTTATGAAATGGTTGATTTTCTTTTTCAGGACTGGGAATTGAACCCAAGGCCTATATATACTAGGCACACAGTCTACTGTGGTTGGTTTGGTTTCTAGTGGTCCCCTTCTCTATGAGTCTTTCTCAGCTTTCTCTTCCACTTTTCCCAGAATCTACAGCTTTCCTTTCCTTTTTAGGCACAATATTACCTAAGGCAGGAGCTCACTCAGGCTTTCACCCCATAAGACTGTTTTGTACAAGTACTTTTCTTCTATCCCTTTCTCTTCAGCACTTACC